TTTACAACAGTCAAGTCTGATGAATCATTCTAATACATGCGTGACTTTAGCCTCCAAGAAAAGCCAAACGGCCCGGACCTGAAACAGACGGAATTACGAAATTGATGACAATTATTCGCTGATTTCTAGCATTGCTGTTTTAACTAAGCTGTTTAGGAATCCTCAACACTTTTCGGATCCCCTTACAGGTAGAACTGGTGGAAAAATGCGTGCGTGCGTGCGTGCGTGCGTGCGTGCGTGCGTGCGTGCGTGCGTGCGTGCGTGCGTGCGTGCGTGCGTGCGTGCGTGCGTGCGTGCGTGCGTGCGTGTATATATACCACACTGCACAGGATACGATCCAACCAACATACTGATGTGTTGAGATTCGCACGCGCGGGAAAAAATGTTCAAGTGTCAGCCACTTGAATGCTGAATGAGCGCGTCTATCTTCTAATTGCCTTGGGGCGCGTTTGGCCTAGACCCTTTTAGGCGAAGCAATTTGCTTTGAAGAGGTATAGCTTCTTTGAAGGTAGACCATTGGGGAAAAGAAAAAGCGATCGTGAAGAAAAAGTTGAGCTTCCGGAAAGTACTGAAATGTTCATAAAGGCTGATTGATTACAGATATTCAGCGTTCTGGATTTATTCGGGATTTTCGAAATGAGGCTCGAGTTTTTCTCTTTTGAGAGATGGTGAACTTCCTCCAGCGCAACTATTTGCAAACATAAGCGCTTTATTGAAAAGGGACACATTTCCTCTTTCAAAAAACCGCTCAACTCGTTTTTGAAGTTTCCGGGGTGTACGAGACAATGGCGTTGAGATCTATGGGGGAAACCTTGAGCTGCGAAAGCCCGCTTCCTATGTGCCATTCGGAGTGGTTCGATTTGAATGCATGATGATGCATTAGGAATAGTTCCTTTCGTGGAGGATAAATGTAGCAATGGTTGTTTCAGCACCCATTAGTTCCACTCTGATATGCCATGCATTAGGCGCCCACCTCAAAGTAGTAGGACAATGCAACTTCTACTTAATGTCTGTTCATGCGCGCAGATGTGTTCACAGGATTCAGTGAGGTCCATCGCGCACTTATTCGCAGACTGGTAGGTCACGGCTGATTGTGCGCGTCCGCGCGGCTACGTTGGCACGCCGCCGGGTCCGTTCTCCACCAGTTGTTGAGTCGGGTAGTGACATCAGCTGATGGAAGACGACTGACACGAGCGATGTGTTGTAGGCTTGCCGCTTTTTGAAAGAAAAAACCGGTCAGCGCCGCGCCAAATGCAGCCGTGCGGGCACGCTTATCAGCCGCTGCGAACCAGGCTACAAGTGCTCGAGGTGGTCAGAAAGCGGCGTGAAGAACGCCCCAAGGCCCCAAGCAGCGCTGGCTAGACACGTTGCATGCGGACTTGAAGATAGTTGGCACCCATCCCGACCAAGCATTCAATCGGGAGAAGTGGCGTGACAAAATAAGAAGAGCGGACCTCCGCCACAGAGTAGGAGTGGAACAGAAACTAGCATTTCGGTGGATAATGGCTACGACATCCATCCGAGAGCATGGACGTCCTTTCTTTGCTACTGGAGGAGTCCCACTGGTGTTACCTTACATCAACGAACGAATAGCAAAGAAAGTGAACCATATCGTCAAGTCATCTCACCTCCCAGTCAAGCTAGTGTTCCGTCCACCTGCGAATCTGAGGAGTTTGTTTACATCATCTCGTATTCATGAAGAAAAGTGTGGCCGAAACAACTGTACGTACTGCACCGAAATAAGATCTGCCAGTTACGAGAACAGTCTATTTGGTCACATGCGAAGGATGTGGTCAGAAATACGTTGGTGAAACCATACGACCACTTATAAGCGATTGGACAAACATGTGCGAGTCTTGCGGAATCCTCCTTCTTACCCTAGGAGTGCTTTTTCACGGCATCGCACATTGTTGCACCAAGAGGAACCACCACCCTCTCTGAAGGTCACTGTGCTATACCGCTCAAGGGAAGCCCCATTAGAAGGGAAATGCTCGAGGCTTCCGCTATTAGGCGGCTATCCCGAAAAAAAAACAGTAGGGATGGACACAAGGAAGCATTGACGCTAATATATTAGCGGTAGCGATATAGAAAGTTATTCGAAATGTCAAGCGCGTCGCACTATTAGTAGATTTTATTCTGCACCAGTCGCATCGCGTGTGAAGTGGGTCCCGGTGAGAAGTTTTCCATGAGAGGGAGGGCCAGTCGGATCGGCTTCGCCGGCCGAATGGTCGAAAAATATTGTTTTGAGAATTACCGCACTTTACCGTTTCACTTCTTGTATATACCCCCCCCCCTAGAAGACAGTCATCAAAATTTTCTATGCGGCACTCCCCTTAGTGATGAGGAATCGCAGAATAAACTATTGCCGACGGTACCAACCATTTGGTATACTCCCTACGGTTATCCCTCACTAACTTCATCTGCCAAACCATTGCTCAGTTTCACCTTACTCCCCATTTCGTGGGGTTTTTCGGATGCGTTTTGAGAATGCTTATCCTCGGCACCGTTCACTTCGGTACACGCCCCGCCTATTGAGGGCATACCTTAGGTTACCTTGCTTGTGCTCCCTGAAAATTGGCTCATCCCATATCAATCCCAATTAGAATCCGTCCTACAGAAGCAGTTTTACGTAGTCTTCAACTTTAGGCGCACAGACAGACGCACAGACACAAACAACTTCTGGTTTATATATACAGAGATATAGGGGTCATCTGGGTAAGAAGTTTAATTGCTGTAATCGCATTAGTGTACTATTGTATTGCAGTCTCTGACGCATTTATTGTTAAGAAGTTGATCGTCCAGGTTAGTGAACTGTTTACCTTAAATCATGTTAAGTGTTATTGTGTAAGATACGCTTGATTTGGCTGTTAAAGGCAGCGCCCGCGTTCAATTTGATGAGTTATGGGGCTCAGACAGTGACAATAAGGTAGCAAGTAGTTCATTAGTGAAGTAAAATGCAAAAAAAATCATCGGATATGCCCTATATAGGACCCCACGCCGAGCTGAGGTTGTACGTGCTTGAGGCGAAGAGAAGGCGCGGCCGCACGAGTTCTCACTTGTTGATATCAGCTGTTTTCCCTTATCACCTCACTCTCACCATTCGAAGTGGAGAGAGTTAGTAGCGGAACAACCGCACCATCAGGCAACCATTAGAAATGAAGTTGGGCGTAGTGGTCGCCAGGTGGGGGGCGGGGTGGCCGACTCTTCACGAGCGGGCGCCGCTATTCTCTCGCATTTTTGAGTTGCGAAACTAGTACGTCCACCATCCTCATAGGGTGAGCTACGATATCCAAAGAGGGCGTGGGAACAACAAATGAACGCGGGCGCTGCCTTCAAGTTGTGAGGAGTCTGTGAGAACAGCGAAAGCTCACCAATAAAGTGTATCTCAAAAAGTCCTCATTTCAATTCTCCCAAGAAAATCTAGTTTTCGCAGTGTTCTCCTACAAGTGCGGTTTGAAGAAAGATTCGCTAACCAGACCTTGCGACACTGCCACTTTTGAGCTGTTCGGTACTGACTGCTCCTCTCATTATGCCCACCCCCGCCCACCTCAATGGTCGAATACGAGCTCCCCTCCCCTGGTGAGGAATCTCCAACGATGTGTGCCCTGTTCGAAAGGCAAAAAGGTATCCCTTGGCAGCACCAGACCTGCTTGTCCGCGAGGAGCATCATTCTCATTGAGTAACCATTCCATCAGCCGGGCGTTCAGTGTGTTTTCATGCGCGGTGAAAGTCACTCAAGAAAATAGGTCGAAATGAACTCGTTCCATTGCCCAAGTGGTTCGATGAGCAGGAACAGCAAATTAAAGTTCCAGAGGAGAAGGGAACAACAAAACCTTTCGTTTTCCATAGCTCTGGGCAACTGGCAGCACGGTGACTCAACAGATTAATTTTCAGTTTTTTTACAGACGTGTCTACTTCGTGGTGCACATCGTCGCATTCGCGATTGTTTTTATACTTCCACATTTCTGCCCTCCAAAACCACCAGGTGACAAATCGTCGCCTCGAGGAACCGACAACACTGTACTTCAGCCATTTGAAGAGAAAAAGGTTATCTAATTCTACATGAAGTCATCCCACTTTTGTCGGTGTGTTAGTGTTCAGATCGTTTGATCATACAATTTGATTTGACGAGAGGATATCGTTTACATTGTGTTTTCGCTTGATCATGACAGTCATCATCATCATCAGCATCATATCCTTTGGAAAAGCAGCTTGTATTTTTGATTCGTATCTAAATGTGTTCTGTATGTTGGACTCGTAACGGGCAATATAATCATTGTTATCAGGCTGTCCCAAAAGTTCGTGATATTTTCAAACTTTTTTTCGAGCTAACTAGGAAAGGTCATCAGGTCGAAGTGGCCATGTATAGCTCACCAGACGTTTTGGACGATCTCGAATCTGCTTTTGAAATTTGCAAAACGATTCTCTGAAAGGAATTATGATGGCTTGTTAGAATTAAAATGAAGGAAAACGGAGTCGAGCGCGGTTGCCAGCCAGTTCGCATGAATAGCCGGGAAGAACCCTTACGTTCAACGGCGGCATGGTGTAGTGGTATCTTGCTTCGCGGGCATGCCATGAAGGGTTCGAATTTCTGGAAGGGAACTTTTTTGCATTTTGTGGGGAATGTCTCTTTTGAGTCTAGAAACACTCAACGCCAAATGGGTGCCATATTCGTGTTCAGGGAGCAAAACTACCCTTGGAGACAGGTTTCTAGCCAGATGTGAGGTTTTGACCTAACTATGAAAAGTGCGGTAGCAGTTGATCGAATGATGGTCACCAATAGTTCCAGGGCCAGTCTCTTGTCGATTGCTTGTCTTTGGACGGAATTTGCTTTTAGATACCAGGAAAACTGGAGCAGTAACAACATGAATGCGTAAGAAGTGGCAAGACGAGGCTTTGTGCAGGAGAATGTATCTGCAGCCGAATAGGTGTGAACATACTAACCCATGGATCAACCTTTTCGAAGTCAGGTCAAAATGGCAGATTTGGCTAGAAACCTCTACCTAGGCGTAGTTCGCCCCAATACGAATATGGCACTCGCTCAGCGCGAAAACGTCTGCACTGCGCGCCAAGGGCACCTGTACATCCTAAAATTCTCCTAGATCATGGGCAAGCGAACGCAAACTGTTTTTCAGGCAAGTCAAGGAGAGCGCTAATGTAGTAGCGACGCCACAACCACTTTTTGCCACGTTTGCGCAAGAAGCAAAAAAGTTAAGCTCAGCAGGGATCCGATCCCATGACCTGTTGCGTGGTAAACGCGGCTCCATAACTCCGTTCAGAGAATCGCTTTGCAAATTTGAAGGCAGATTCGAGATCAGCGTCCAAAACCACGTCTAGTGAGCTACATCTCATTACAAATGGCCACTTCGACCTGACGACCTTCCCTAGTAAGTTTATTCCAGTGAGGAGCAATTTTGATCAACAATATATATGTTACCTTCATCGGCAACTTGTTGCCAACCACCAGGCAAAGAGTGGTTGCCTTGCTTCCAGAAGCTTTTTGGTTCCGTGCCGAGAAAGGCAGCTGGGTCATTTTTGAGGTACTATCAAAAATCGTATTTTTTTACCCAGAAGATGGCCGCTGTGGGATTAGTTTAGATGGCGATCGGAAAGAGCTAAGTCAGGGCTACACGAAGACTGTGGTGGAATTCCCCAGCTAAGCTTCAGGATCTCGAGCAGTGTCATTTTCGAAACGTGTGACCCTGAGCTGTGGTGGAGTAGGCAAACATTGCTTGTTGTGGGACCAAAGGGTGGGCACCACAGCACCGAGAATACAAAATTCCTTTTGGGAAGGAGAAAGGAACCCCACCACATACACAGTCTCACCGCCCTACTGGATTGATAGGATTGCGCGACCGGTTCTGCCCTTTCTGGGGATCTAGCCACTGGCGCTTCCGGGAGTGATTCATCTAGAGACACCTCCTTCATATCCACTTACAACGTTGTTCAACTAGTCCGAACGGCTGGAGCGTGGGAAAGTTGTGGACAGTTCACACAAGAGCTCCCCACAAGAGCTCATGAGAAAAATTCTGAGCGAACTTCACTTTTCTAAGGGAGCGAGGCCTTCTCTCATTTGTGCTTTGGGACCAGTCAAGTGTAAGGAATAGATAGCAAGTTGATTTGTACGTATTGGTTTTAATCAAGGAACACAGTAGGTCCAAATCCAAGGCAGGATGGCCTCCCTGGACGAGGTTTTCTCCCAGGTAGAAGTCACTCAAGCGAAAGCGATCGGGCCATTTCAACGCCGTACTGTGGAAGGTACCATCAGGACCTAACTCAGAGAAATGCCGCTTGTGGCTCCAACCACGTTGTGGCTTGGTGGAGATTCATATAGCGAAGTGTGTCGAAAATGATGAATTTCAATTACCGTTTTGGATATGAGAACAGCGACTGCGAGGGACGGTAAAGAAGCTGTGGGATGCTCACTTAACACACTTCCCATAGACCACATAACTGGATCTCGAAATGGCTGCGGAAAGATCTGATACGAGATTCTAAAAATGCTCACGAACTTTTAGAACAACCTAATAGAAGACTTGCAAGTGCACTGCATGCTGAACAATATGGATGAGACCTCGCGAAGCTCGTCTGCATCGATCCGAGTTATCTCAGGCAGCGTTCAACCTTCGCAATGTGCTGTAGGCGGGAAGCGCAACAATAGACGGGTAGGTCGGTTCTAGCCGCTGGTCTTCTGAGATAGAAATAAGAGGGTTCCGTACTGTGTGATTAGGTGAGGTCCACCCCCCCCCCCCCTCTCCCCCCTCCCCTGTTATCCATGCTTTTTCGAAACACTAGCGACCGGCGCCGCTCGATACTCGTCTGTATCTCCGTTCCCGTTTATAGCAGTGGAGCCATTGCAATGGTAGCGCGACATGGCGCGTTTATGGGCGTCGTAGCGCGTCGACATGAAGTCTGAACGCTGTCTTGCTCACGCATATCCTTCCATATTCTAAAATTTGCGACAGACGCTTAGGTTGGATGCGTACGTGGAACTCGTTTGTTGTGTTAGGTTCTTTTTTTCTCGTTTCATTAATCCATCCGATTTTTGTGCTTATCTCAAACCCAGTGAAGATAGTGAGCTTATATTCTCACACTGATCGGGTTCGAGCGAATTATACAGTACGGCTTTCACTTGGTGATTTATTTTATTGTTTCTCAGTTTGTGTGTGTTTTCCTTTGAGAAGTTTTGCATTGTTCATTGCAAAAGTTACTGCTGATTCTTTTTGAAATATGTTGTGAATGAACTTAGCGAT